GTCTGTGTCGAACTATTTCAGACCAGCTTTTCTCCCGACATTCATCAGCTGCGTAACTGTGCGTCGGGCTTTGTACGTGGATAGACAGGTAGGCGAAGGGAACCGAGATGCCAGACTCAGCGCGGAAGCAACTTGTAATTACTACCTCATAATCGAATAAGCGTCAATTCTATCTACATTCATTCCCCCTTCTATCATGTATTTCAGTTAGATATGACGCAACATGTAAGCCTCAAATTATTTTAAGTATACCCTGTAATTACTCATCTTTTTTTTGCACAAATAATTCAACAACTTCGCTCGCGAGAAGTTCGGAAGCGCATTCGATCAGCGGATTGCACGCTCGCGAAACGAGCGGAGGTGAGAGTGGATTCGTTCGAGAGCGAACGTGGGACGCGCGTCGATGCCTTCGTTGCGTGGGATCGCTTCCGTGTGTGTGCGTGCGTGCGTGGATTGTCGGGGACCGGGTCGTTACCCAGACATGGGGGCTTCATGTGCGTTCCACTACCACCAGCGACGACACCGTCATCATGATGCGGCTTATCGCGATGCGAGGTGTGGGAGTGTCTCCGTCTCTATTTCGCTGTTCCTCTCGGTCCTCCTCTCTTCCGATTTCTCTCTCTCGCGACACGAGATACGAGTGCACGCCACCTTCCCTCTCTCTTTCTCTCTCTTTGCATCTTCGTGTCTCTCATCCGCGTACTTTTACGTCCTTATCGTGATACGTCTCTTATTTCGCCCGCGCCAATTTCTTTCTCTCGTGAGGATTATGCGCGACGCGATAGAGACTGCTCCCATCAATGTCGACATCGCTCGGGTCTGTCGATAAATTTAGTTCGCGGATGTCGGACAGGACCTCGTGGGGGCCGCCGCACGATCGGACTTTAAATCGAGATGATCTTGATGACGCATTTGAATGTATCCCCACGGGCGCGCGATTATTTATTGCGCGACGGAGTTATCTGGTCCTGGAATTGATTCTGGGGGCGAATAACGTGGGCAATAAAGTCCCGCATCCGGTGCAAAGGCCCACCAGCCTACTGACATGCTTATATTTCTATCGCAATATATTTAATACACAGATTTATATTTCCTTTCTGCTAAAAAGAAAGAAAATATCAGTAAATTATAGATAGATAAAAAGGAATGTATAGCTAACGAAACTAGTAGAAATGGATATGACTAATTATGAAAATTAAAATATTAAATTAAGTTTGTATTATAATTTTAATTTTATATAACAACTTTGTAGACTATAGTATAACAATATTTCTCATTGTAATAATTTATTTTATATAATACGTAATAGTAACGTTAATATACGGAAAAAGTTCTTTATTGAAATAAATTAATGTTGAACTGCATTAATCTAAGAAAAGAGATTATGAAATGACACGCGTCTTTTATGGAATGCCGCGGGAAATCTAGTTGCAATTCATTCGACAAATTACCTTCGGCGTACGTCTAAAATGGTCAGCTCGGACGAATTGTCGATCGTTAACACCTCCGTGCGAGCGAGCGCTGCTCGCAGAGTTTGTTTTCGCTGGGTGCAAAAGCAGCCGAGAAAGGAGCATGGGAGAGAAAGATGAAGGAGGAGAGATCAGTACCCCGTGCATACCTACGTGCTATGCACGCATATGCACGCAGCGCGTCCCATAACGCGACTATGTGTGGGCTCGTGAAGTGTGGGTTCGGCCGCCTTAAAGCGCGTGTCATATTTGGCGATACATCGCACAAAACCTCTCGTGTAGGCTCGCACCGCGCCGCGACGGACGGATGCTCGTGTTAGGCAAAGAAAATATCTGAGCGTTAACAAACAATCTCAGGGAAAGTCTAAAGAATTTTAATATACGCTAGAGTATTACAAAAAATGTCTTACAATTAGTAGCTCTGTGTCATAAAAGTTTCCGGATTTGAGAATTGCGCGCACATGATAATTTGCTTAATAAAATTTAATTTAATTCGTTATATATAGCTTATAGCGCGAGGTCGATAATGATCATCTTCCTCCGGAATACGCCTTCGTGCTCACCGAGAGAAGTTTGGTTTCGACGACTCATCACTTGAGGATTCCATGCACCTGTTTAAATGCGGTAGTTCGTGTAGAGACGCCGTATATCGTAATAGGAAAGCGTTGTTTGCACGTGCCCACATTCGTTCCGTTCGTCCGTCACCCACACGCTACGCCGTCGCTTATTAAGGACTGCTATCGCGCGAGAGATATACGACGAAGAAGGAAAGGACACGGAGTCTCCTTAAGCCTACGCCGTGCTCTCGGCCCACTTCGAGCCGAAGAAGAACGAGATACAGGGCGGGCGGTAGGCGCTAAGAATGACCGGCCTACGAGCTGTCGTCTAATTAGGCGTTGTTCGGGGTCCGTGTGTTTCCATCGTGATACAAGGATCGGCAAAAATCTGGCTTAAATTGGCGGACGTTGATGGAATGGGACCCGTAACAACTCTATGTCAGTGTTAGCGCCTTGTACGAGGGGTCCTATAACGCAATCAGATTATCGATGAAAGAAAAAAAGATCGATCAAAATATATCTCGGTATATGGAGCACGGATATAGATTTTAGACCGAGCTGTGTAACATTGCGCGTTACGACACGTGAATCTCGCGAAGGCAGTCAGTTGGATAACGATGGATCACGAGGATGTACATCGCGAAATTCATCCCGCGATCCATCATGTCTCGGACCGTGCTCGAGCACATAACTTTTGCATAGATTAGATCGCAGCCGAGCGCCGCGCCGGATCTAGGTCCGCGATCCAGAACTGAGCGCCGCGTTCTGACGCCGCACAAAGAAGCGGCAGCTGCTTGCCGATCGAGTCAATACTCGATACAGTGGTCGGTGTTGTTCTCTGACCAGTTTTGGAAGGGTGACGTCCCACCCCCTTTGCCGGAACGGACCCCCGAAGCCGCTCGGGCCCGGCCCCCGGCATTCCTCTTACTTTTTATCGGTCGCGCGCCGGTCATATCGCCAAAGCATCCACGATCGAACGCCAATCCGAGAGATTCCGACGCTGTTGCGCGAGGGCTCGATGTTGGAATCGAATAAAGGCGCTTGTGCGCGATCGAAGGGTCCTTTGAAAAAAAGGGGGAGATATTAATAAGGTGACACTGTTCCGAGGAGCCTGCTGGCAGGAGGTAGACAGATGTCGCGGCGTCTTTTTTGGGGTTTCGATACAATGAAATGTATCTTTGTTATATGGCTAGGATTATATATTCATATATTTATCAAATATTTATATAGATTTGATATTGGATATAGAATGAAAGTTCTGTTGTATTTGTATAGACGCTTTGATCAAGATATTTTAATCATTTAATATCTTTATACGCTGGAAAATTATTTCTCACGTGTTTTAAATAAATTGTATAATGTATTTGTGAGGCGTTTCCGAGTCGATGCTCATCGACATTTATGTATTCAAAACGAAAAGCGGTTTAGGCTCGCATTTTTAGAATCGCTTTTTTTAACGGCCGTCAAGCCGTGGGATACCGACACTCGCGGGAGGACTAACCGCATTTGCGAAACCACATTTTTATCCGTTTTTTGTCGCCGGATGAATTATCGAGGCAGCGGAATCTTCGAGAGACAGTGACCTACACGATCCCTCGTCTAATCGGACTCCATTATTCTCCTATTTCGTCTTGACGTCACGGTCGGATAAATTTACAATTCAGGATTAAATCTTATGGTTGGTTTATAATATATAAAATTCATTTTTAACGATCTTTATAGTTAATAATATATAAAGTGCTATTTAAGTGTTATTCGCGAAGTATTGTAATATTTAATATCTATCTAATATCTAATATCTTGATTTTATGCATTAAAACTTTTCATCGCATTATATCGTTTGATTATTATTAGATATTAATTCTTCCATTTGCCTGATAGGTTAAGAGAGTGAAATATTTATCTCGGCGACAGTGAAATAATAGGTTGTTGATCTCTGCACTCAGCACGCAGGAGAGAGGCATAATTTTTATATTTTGTACACGTCTGCGCGATTTAATCCGGTCGTCCCGTGATCGCGCCACGCGCGCGCGGTGGCCCGAAACAGATGGGTTTTGAAGAAGAAGCGGCTGTATTCCCGACCGAGAATGTATTCCGAGAGGGTTTCCTCGTAATCTTCTGTTTGTACGTGGCGTGGGACGAGAAGAGCTGCGAGAGGATCCAAGCGGACGGGGAGAACGACAGCTTCTTGCGTTGCATGTTTGTCGTCGGATCCGCAGGGTGATTGACGGACGTGCCGAGACGAAGATGCGCGCGCGCGCTCTGTTTGGCGACATGGTCGGATCCGATGTTTATCTTCGTGTACGAACTCTTTTCTTCGGCCCCTGTCGCTCCGCGTAGCCCACGTACGAGCGTGTACGAGTGTGTATTTCGCGGCCGCGCCGCGGTTACCGCGCTGGCGTTCGCCTCTCAGCGGGGTTTGAGCCTCGACGTTGAGGAAATGGAGTGGATCTCCGAGGCAGATAAAGTAGATCGACAACCATGGTTCTCTCTTGAGAGAGATGGAGATTGGATTTAATCTTGCTGACTGACGCACTTACTATCGGAATATCGTATTCAATGACGATTCGTTATCCGTCAAAAATATTCGAACCGCCTTATAATGTACGTAATGTTTTCACTTTCACGCATTTATCAAACGCCACCACCTCTATATAAATACCGTACTTACAAATAATATTCCCCGTCCGCAGGATTGCTATACATCACGCGTAGACGCGAGTTCCATGCGTGAACATTCTCGCGTTATGACGAATGTCTCTCGTACCGTAATTGCACGCGTACGTAGCATACGTACGTATGATGTAAAACGTTTGGGCGGTGTTCCCTCGAAGCTTAATCATCTCGGAGCCAGACACGAGATTCGTTTTTCTCGCGCGGCGCAATTCGCGGTCGGCGTGCAATTACAAATTTCTCATCCCGATGATGTTCTCGGCACCGATGTCTATATCACACGGCTCGTCTATAATTTCAGATGGGACTATGGAGGCGCGCTTTAACGACGAGGCGGACTTGCACAACGAGCGGCAATCTTTCACGGAACAGGTAGGTATGCGCCAAGCCATTTCGTATAAGCCTCACGAAATCGCGACTTGCTTTGCTTTATTATCGCCGGCATTATCTCCCGTGACGATCGATCGATGGATAAATTGTTACACACGTTTTGTCGTAAGATTGGACCGTTATGTTTTAATAATTAGTGACATATAGCCACCTGGTGATTTTGATACAGATACTCGAGTAGAAAATAAAGCAGAATATAGGCAGTACCTGGTTAGTAACCAGATTCCTGGCCTAGATATTGGTCAATTACTTTCTGATTTATTTTTACTCAGATTTATTTACTTGTTTTGCTTGTGTGATCAAGTTGTCACATTCCTTAATAAAGTAGCTATCATTGTATTTACGACACTCACGATCGCGAGCGGACTTGAAAGCATGCTATTAACGTAACGTACACGAAAAATTGCATTTGCAGAGAATTAATTATCCGTGTCGTTCCCCACTTAATGTCGTTTCTTGCATAGCAATGAGGAAAGAGCGGGACACCTAACTGAACTGAAAGGTGTGGACGAGATACTTAAGTCGTAATTGCGCGTAAAACATCGACGATCTCGCACCGCTCGCAAGGTGTGAACAGGAGAATCTCAATTCAACCGATGCCTGGTCTCGCCCGCGATCTACTTCTTTTTTTTTTTTTTCGAAGTTGCCTGTGTCAAGTCGAGCGAGATTTTATCGGCGCCGCGCCGTTATACCGGTATACGTATTCCCGAGAACCGTATCCTCGAGGAACAAGAATGGAGACAATTAAGCGTAACAAAAGTCGAGAAATGAAGAGTGCTATGCGAACGGCAACGTTAAAACATATAGTTTACGAAGGCGACGACATCCGCTTTCGTATCTCGGATTCTTATCGTTTCTTCTTTTCTCTGTCCCTCTTCTTCGCGCCACCAGTAAGCGAGCTCCTTAGAAAATACGACAGCGAGCTCCCCGAAGAAATTAACCGTGCCGAGGACTTGTTCGCGCCCGATGAAAATTAAGGATCGCGACAGAATTTACGCGGTGTCGCGAGATCTTAATTAAGCGAGGACGTCTTTACGAGGACGCGGCCCGATCGAATTCGACGAGCTACGAGAGTAATGCTTATTGAACCAGGTGCAAAATTACCTCCCGCGGCTCGGTCGGAGCCGCGAGCGCAGAAATCGTTTCGCGCGACGTCTTTTACGATCCGTTAAGTAGCTCCGGAGTTGTTTATCCGTCGCGCTCGCTGCGGAGACCGAGCAGCAGGCGAGAGCGCTGCTCCCCGCGAACAAGAGTGCCCCGGAGATTTGATTTACTCGCGAGGTGGCTGGAAAATGAGCCTCTATTGTGCACGTTCCAGGAACGGCATTCACTCGTTCTCGGCCGTTGTTTCTCGGAGACACGTTCAATAAGTCGCCGCCGTCGGCGCGTCGTCGCGCGCCATGCAATTCTGGTCTGAATAAAAGTTCTCAATCACATCAAGCAGTCGCAATCAGAGAGATAGTCGTGAAACACTGCATTAGTCGAGCTTTATACAACGATCACCGATGATATAAGTGTCGAAGAAGTGTAGCAGACCGGCTATTTCATCTGCTTCGAGTAGTATCCGGCTCCCATAATTTCAGTACCTCGTGCGAACTTCCGGGATATCCCACAAAAATACGCAACGAAGAAAATATAATGATTGCAGGCACCGTTGGGGTACGTTGAAACGCTGCTTTTTTTATTCTCCGGTGTATTCAAACACGGATGCGGGCTCAACCTTGATCAAGGGAATGCACTGGAACCGAAGTATAATTGTGCTGATTGCTGTTGAGCGCAGATGCGAAATGCCTCCGGCATGATAATAATTCTGCCATAACCCCCCCCCCCCCCCCTCGTAATAATCTTACTCGCGCGCCCGACGCGCTATTTGCGATTGGTGGCTGCAATTAAATGTTAAATTGGGAATTCCGGAGCCGCGCAATCGTCCCAAATTACGGAGAGGAACCATCCATCGAACCGAACGTCTCCTGCAGCTTCTAAAATGTCTCTTTTACATAAAGGCTCAGTTCAATGGAACGTTGATAGTTAAACTGGTTCTATAACAAAAGACCTAGATGTGCCATAGATAGGCAATGCAATTCCGACGGTCACATTATGCGGACCACACTGAATTCTTGCACCATCCCTGTCACGCTCACGCATACGACCGGAGCACCGCGTGCACCGTGGGCGCGTGCACGCACGAGAGCTCCACGGCGCGCACGTGTCGCGGTTTTCTAACGCGGCATTACGCGCTCGGGAGCAAACAACGAAATAAGAACATCAGAGATAGGCCGCAGCTCTACTCGCACGCACTTCATAAATAACTCTGGCTTCTCGACCCACACACTTCTCTCGAGCTCCGAGGTGGAGTAACTATAATCTTAATAATCATAACCGCCGACGAGACGTCGTATGCGCGCGTCCATTCTCTCCCTCTTCTTCTCTCTCTCTTTTTCTCTCTCTCTTTCTCTTTCCCTCTTTCCCAGTTCTCTCTCTTTATCGTTTTCTGTCTTTCTCTGTGGCTCGCACGCGCTTCGGCGCCTTGTGTTATTAACCCAAATTGCCGTGCTCGTGAATGGAATCACGCCCTTATCGAGTCACACACAGGGCACCGCCGCGCCGCGCGTCGTGTCCACGTGTGCTCCGTCGACGAGTGAGTCGCAGTGCATGTGCGCGACCGATGCGCGTCTCTTCAATGTATCGCATCGCGTTAATGTGTTAGGTAATTACGCGACGCGCTCATTTCTGGTAATATGGCAACCACTGCGATAATGGGTTGATTAATGATCGATGGCAACGGGTAGCACGATGCGGATGAGAAAGCAAGGCTCACTCGGTAATTGTATTGCAACGAGAGCATGTTCCTGTGGTAGAATTGAAATATATTATTTCAGATGAATTTCTTTCTCTCCCTCTTTTCCTAACAGAATCCTCTTCCACATTTTTTAAGGCAACAGTATATTGTTCGATGAAATTACCGATATCGATGATTGCACTCATGGATAAAGTAGATAAGCACTCGAAACGTACCTCGGGTTGTTATTCGAGACTATGTAAATGTCAGATTACACGTGATGGACAGGATGCTCCGGACGATCGTGTCACGCCGGTAAGCTCGCGATAACAATGATCGAGCATGACTGGCATAGATCGCGTTGCTATTCGTGACGACTAGGTTTAATATCGCGGCTACACCTGGTTACAAAAAAGATTATAGCGAGTGCGCACCTCGTGCACATGTTGTCGCAATTCCGTCGTGCCGTTCGAGGAATCACACGATAAAATGTTTAGGCTGCAAGTTCCGAACGCGTACGACTCAACAAACCGATAAGTACGTGACATTACGATGCGAATAACGCACCTTGCTACGAAAATATGTCTTTGAAATTCCTCGGGAAATACTTTCGCGATTGCACGGAAGCGATTAGCGAGAATTCTCAGATTACGATTCTCGCATAGGTCAAGACCGCTGACGTGTCTGAAAATTAGCGGCGTCGACATTTCCCCACGCGAACGAAACATCTGTTTCAGGCAATCCCGGAAATTCGAATCCTCGTCGAATTGACCGTTGATTATTCAGCGTCTGGCATCACAATAAATGTTCGCGTAAGCGTCTGGCCGTGTCGCATTAGCGTCTCCTCGAAATACAAAACCATCGATTGAGGAACAATGCGTTGACATAGATTAGACATAGTGTTAGCTGGTATACTGCTATTACAAGCTATGTTATTTCTCTGATAATGAATTTATATAATTTTTATCCATAAATAATTAATAATTAATAAAATAAATTGCAAGGAATAAATTGCGAGAAACATCTAAGCGGAAACAAACGTCGAAAATATTTCGACCAGTCGCAAGCCTATACTACCACATGCCGCGGGCTATCGTCACGTAATTTTCACGAAGAAGAAACCGTGATCACCGTGCCGTGCGTTCTCCGGCACGTGGAACGTTCAAAAATGCCAACGCTCTTTTTCGGTTGTTGCGAAAGGGCCCGGCGCACCATTACACGGAGCCGTGCTTCCGAAATGTCGCTTTGGGAATTGTAAGATCCAAGCGGTTCGAAAAAAGTTCCAGTCCGTTGAAAACGAAAAACGACGAGGCAAATAATCTTATAATTATATTTTTTTGTCGATATAGCTACATATTTATAATAACAAAGATATCTTTGCAGTTATATTTTAACGTGTAGAACGATATTTCTGAAAACGAGAGATTGAAATATAAAGTGCATTGCTCAAAGATACCGCGTATATCGTAGCGATGATGCGTCACGCGCTCGCGTGTCGCGCTGCTTTCGAGCCGACATTCAAAAATCTGGCGTAAAGTGTTAATCTTGGCAGCATCACCAGGTGATGCTGCAACAAACACGTGAAACGGAGAATACCGTCGATAGCGTGAACCAGCGCGAACGAGATCAGGCAAGAGTCCCCTCACTAGTCGCCCGTGAGTGGCGGCGCGTGTCAACCTTGTTGTATCCTTGAAATCGCGCGCGACCGCGACCGTATGTCGAGCCAAGGCGGAGCGACGGGCTAGCAAATATGCGCTCGCGAGATTCTAGGAATCAGCTGATTGGGGAATTCCTAGAGAGGACCACTCCGAGGAAGATTCGAGCTCTTGTTTCCTACGAGGCGGATAGAATCAGGTTTCGGATTATGACTGAAAACGCGCGTGGATGCATCCAGCTGTCTCTATCTCTCTCTCTCTCTTGCTACTATAATTGCGATTAGAATTAGAAATTTAGATAATATTTTACGTCACATGTGTTACCGAGAAACAAATGGATGTTTTTACAGCAATAAGCATCGGTCGTCTAAATGCTATTCGCTATTAAATGTTAACAAAACTGGTACACACAAGTGATATTTGTCCGTTTCATTTATGTTAGTCTCAAGATATTTTGTGTTCGCATTTGCGTGAGGAAAAAGAAAACCAGTAGATGCTAAGGCTGCAAAGAGTTCGACGAATGCGACTTCCTTATTTTTTCACGTTCGATAATTAACCTTTGCCACATACATGAATTATCATCGTCATAATGATCCCATGTCACGTGGAGCTTTTGCCTCACGCACGTCGACTCGATCATTCATCGTCCAGTATTAACGTACACAACCGGCGCGCGTGACGTCCGTTAAATGCAGACGAGCGAGCGGTCGGGAATTTCCTAATGCGGAGATAACGCCTGACGCAGATTCACAGACAGCCGAACAAGAAATTCCCCGAGAGGAGGGAACTCGGACTATCCAGTTTCGCGACTTTCGTCGTTCCTTTCATCGTGAGATTAATGAGCGCATTATGATAATTTTTTCGCCGAAAAGCGAGACCATTGCACGAATCTCTCTCGGACGAGTCTCCGCAGGAGAATGTAGTTTTTGGCGCGACCCCAAATAACGCGTAATACACGGAATTAGTTCGCGCAGGTAGAACGGATTTGATATAATTAAATTTTTCGAGCTACAATCCTCGGCCATTATCATCTTAATGATCATTAGGCCTAGCCGCCTGGAGGCGTAAAAAAATAGGAAGGCAATTATATAGGACGGCGAAATTCTTGCTTGAGACGAGAGCTCATCGCCGCGAGCTTCGCGTGCGCTGTTGTGCCTGGTAGGGGTCAAATTCTTCTTTCATTAGAGTATATACGCAGACAACTCGTATACGATATCTGGCGAGACGTGTTTGTTGGGACGTTTACATAATCGCAGATAACTGAATGGATGGCCAGATAAATACGATTCTAATAATGTATGTACCTATTAAATAGTCATAATTTGCAGAATCTGTTTGGTATTTGGTGATCGAGATCGAGATGTGAAATAAGGTGACTGATAGAGATCAAGATGCAAAATAATAATAATGAATTTTTTTCAATCACATTAATTAACAATAAACAGTTCTGAGTCGTTAAGTTTCAACGTTCGCATTGCTTAATACACATTTTATTATCAAGTTCGGTGAAAAATTCAGAGCAATCTGTTATTCCTTTCTTTCAACGTACCTGTGTTAAATTATTAACAGCGAATGTTCCCATAGTCGTAAAAGCTTACTTGAAATGGCGAAGGTATCTTCTTTGAGCGTAATTCGCCTACAAGGGGCGAATTACGCTAAGAGTACCATGAGAGAAAGAAGGGTACTATGCAATTTGTCATTCGGCGTGTTTTGCGTGTGGCATCCTGGCCCTCTGCACGCCGCGCTTCTGCCTCGCAAATTGCTGTACCAGGAATGCTATTGCCCGCAAGAGGAGGACATTATGGTAATTTAGGCTTTCGCGGTTTTCGCGAAGATCAAGAAGACGACTGTGTCTGTGTACGTTTCTTGACGCTTAAAAATTTTTTTAATTTTTGTCTCTATTAAAATACATATTTGCGCGAATATTGTAAGTGTGTGTTATTATTCTTCTTGTGCATTTTTATCACAGTTAGAATGCGAACGTGATGATTTAAGATGAGAAAAGTAGATATTCTAAATATTTTTCGGCGCTTTCTTTAGCGCGCAGTAGAACAATCTAAATCGGTTAGATAATTGCAGATATGTCCTGTATTTTTGCAGCGCGGCGGGGAATAAAGTCAGATTTACGAGCGAGCGAAATGCACGTGACTGCCGGGCACGATGCTTAAATATACATCGTAACTGTCCACGCGCGGAGACAGCCTTATCTACTTTAAAGTCATGCGGTATAAGCGCCAATCGCTCGTTGGAAAATTACTAACATTTAGTCACGAGAGAAAGCGAGTGCGATAATCAACTATCACGATGTCTTTACTCAGGATCCAGTTTGGAGATTAGATTCGGTGACGTCTGACAATCTGCATTTCGATTTCATTTCTCGAAACGACAATTCATGTAATCGATTGTGCCTCATAAATTGTTAATAAATACTGATAATTGTTTCTCGCGTAATGGACAATTAGTAATTAATCGTTTTTACGATAAAAACATGAAAGCTTTTACCGAAGGAAGAATAAAGTATTGCACTTTATTCACGCAACGTTATAGAAATAGATTGCTAATCTTTATTATCGGATGAGAAAAGGATTCGGGTCCTTTAGGGTCCTGTAAAGGGCCTCACGGTGTTCCGACGAAATCCAGTAGAAGGCAGCAGGTTCTGGCGTTTGGTACTTTAGGCAAAGGCACAGCGGAAGGGAGAAATTTTGGGGCCTGGTCGGGTGAGATGGTCATCGCAGACCGGTTTGTACTTATAGGTGTAACACCACTCTTCTTCATCAGATGGCGGTAACTCGGCGGAGAAATTTTGCTCTCGCGAACTGCCGTCCAGTCTCGCTCGAGACGTGCAGTGAATCGGACATAGGCGATAGCCGATGAAGTGCAAGCATCTTCAGAGCGAAAGTATTTCGTTTCGAAATTTTGTCGTCCGTATTTTTCATTGAAAACTTATAATTGAATTTTTATCTGTTGCATATATTTTTTAAAGCGTTTTGAAGATATCTTTTTTCATAATTATATCTGGTTAGATTAAATTGAAAATAAATCAAGAGTGAGAGCAACTATATAAAATGTACTTATACAACTATAATGATTGAAGGAAATGTGGATTGAGGAAATGGTGGTTTATATAAACATAAAACATAGAAATTGTATTGAGAAAGAGATCAACATTTATTTGATACTCTTGCAATGATAAGCGTTGGTTGTCTATTCTCATAATAGAGAGGAATTATAAATGTTACCTCTTTTGCATTCGTATAAATATAAATAACGTGTTCTCTTTCGGTTATCGCTCATATGTACAATCTCTCGTACACGCTGTTACTCGCTTGCGACTTCTTAACATAAATCCTAAGCCTAAAGTCGATTAAAAACATTTTTCGTACTTACAACGATATACTACAAATCGTTTAGCGTTTTACATACAAGAAACAGAATGGAAGACCTCGGTGATTCTTGTTGCGTAAGGCACTTAAAATATAGTATTCATATAACTATACAGAGAGGATCGACGAGAAAGGAGATAAGGATAGGGCGATGCGGGATAAGACAAAAAAGGACCGACGCGATATTTCGAGATATATTCCGGAAAAATCATCTTCAATTTTTGACATGCTGAAATTTAATGATATATCTACAAGGCACTATTTAAGAAGGCACTGCCTCATTGGCTACTGGCCGACTGTGCACGCGCACTCCGGAAAATAAACTGGCGTCTCTTAACGATCCTCTACTTTTTCACGGCGATGTCCTCCTACGGACGGGACCGCTCGTCTACAATGATCTACGTAATTGAGGAACATGTTTCCGTTCCGCGGAATTTCTTTACGCGACGCATAAATCAGCACGTTGAATCGGCGCGTTTTCGGCCGCGGATGACCATCGACACGTATCAAGTTTATATCACTTCATAGTCACGCACATGTCGTGTCCGTATTTTTTCTTCCTCTTTTTCTTTTACCACGGCCTCCATGGTTTGTCGTCGATTGGCGGCACCACGCTCTTCCTCATCACCAGCGCGAGAGGTTTCTGGGGGAAGCATTGCGATTCGAACTCCGAATCGCTATAGCTGTTGGCCGGAGACGTGGCGACGTCCCGGTGACTGTTGGCTGGGCTGTAGGCGGTGGCCTGCTCGCGGAACGACGTCGGGGGTGCCTCGAACGCCACCGGACTTCCCGCCGACGTGGATGTCGAGCTGTTGGACGAACTCGTCGACGATGCGGATGCGGTGCTCGCGGTCCTCTGGGGGATCGGGATCAGAGTTGGTAACGGCGAACTTGGCGCCGGGGACGACGACGGCGACGAGGTAACCGGCGCTTTCGCGCCCGCCGGGAGCACCAGAGCGATGTCACCGTTCGGTAATCTGGTCGGTAACAGATGCAGGGCGGTACCGTTGGCATTGGTGAAGAAAATGCCATTCGATTGCTGGACCTGGATGCGCGGCGTGGTGTCAAGTTGAGGCAGAATGTGTACTTGCAATTGTGTCGTCGGCGGCGCCGGTTGGACAGCCTGTTGAGTCGCCGTCGTCGTTTGGCCGTTGCCAGCATCGACCGGACCCAGGCACGAGGCCAAATGGGACATCAGACGTCTCCTCACCGAGGCTTCCAGACCGGGAAATTTGCCAACTTCGCTGGCGCACTCCGTGTAACCGGCGCGGAATTTGTTGAGGATGCTCGGATCTGCCGCGGCAGCCATAGCGACTTGCTGCCGTTGTAGGGTCTCCAAATGCTTCACGGTCAGTTCCAAAATGTCAGCCTTCTCGAGCTTCGAGTGTCTAGCTGGCTGTAACAGAAAAACAAACCAAAATGCCGATTAGCAAATTAATGAGACAGTATATAAAATTGAAAATGGAAAGGTAGAAGATCGGCATCAAATAATTTTAGGAGGTTAAATTTTTAGAAATCATTTTTTTTTATTTCTTTAAAGAATTTAAAAACCAAAAGTTTTAAAAAATTTTTATGTCGTATGTTGCTCTCATAAGATATATGATACTTCAAGAATGTTTTGATACTTACGTCTTTCTTCATAGATTCCAAAACGAGAGTTTTTAAATCGTTCAGACTGTTGTTAATACGGGCTCGACGTCTTTTCTCCATGATAGGCTTATTGCTCTGTGAACAGAAATCATCGGTAAAAATAATAAATAGAAGTACTAGAAAAATCTCAAGTTAAATTAAGAACGTATATTAATGAATATCGAGAACGCTAAAATATCATGCCGAAAAAATTTCAAAAGAGAAAGAATGTCTTTGAAAACTTTTCTACGAAGGCTATTAAGGATCATAATGATGTGCAAGGATCATGACAAGGATCTTTACAAGTTCTTTACAATTTCTTTACAAGTTCTTAATAGATAGCAACAATGGCAAGTATCCGTTTTGTACTTAAAAAAATTTTTTGTCTATTATGATATTTGCCATCTCTAAAGTCACGTTTGTTCCATTTTTTCGCGACGTCAGAACATTAAAACAAGTTGAAAATGACTTGTAAATTAATAATAATTGTATAAATCATTGTAAATCGATAACTAATGAAAGAAATAATTAAAGGCTGTTTAGCGATTTAACAGTGAGTAGTCACATAACGAGTTCGAAGCTTTCGGCATGTCACCATAGTAGCGTCGCGCGAAGGAATGAATATCGTTTACGTTTTTCTGGAATTCGGTACTTAAAGGAGACTAAATCCGGAGCATGAAATAAACGACACTCTTTAATTCTACTTTATTTCTAGTTGACCTCATTATTTTATATGATTTTATTTCAAATTCTAAATATACCAATTTATATAGCATCTCAATTTTAAAGAGAAAGTAATATTATCATGTGAAAAGAATTAATTTTGCAGCGCGTTAATAGTCACTATATATTTTTTTCTCTACTATAAAAAATGATTCGCTGCTCCGGGTCAATACTCCGAATCAATACTCCGAAAATGTAACACGCCGAAGTATAACGAAGAATCTCTTTGATCTTGACACTAACCCGTCGATTTTCCCCGGATCTTCTCGTAGTTGTCGTGGCCGTCGGGGTAGTTTGCGCAGGGGGCTGGCCAGCCTCCTGGGGCACGTGCTGCGCGGGTGGAGTAGCGCCGACGGTGACACCGCCGGTCGGCATCGTGGCACCCACTCCGGTCACCATTATTTACTTTGCTTCCCGTATCACAGAAGTGTTGAGAACTTCCAAGCTGAATAATTCTGATCGACGTGAAAGCACTGTGAAACGTGATCGATCACTTCACTGATAATCCAATGATCAGCTGCGCTCGATGTCTCCTTCGTCCGCGAATGGTTGCGGATGACGGACTGATTGAGAGAATCGCGGTACGAGAGGGTGAACCCGACGGTGAACGTGAACGTGAAGGAAACGTGACGATCGAGAGTATGCGCTCGTTTGCTCGTTTCGTTTTCTCTAAACGCCGCTAAAGTTGCGACCGCTCGCGACTGGTGTCAGAGCTCGACTAACTCGACGAACGGCGAACGTCTTCTATCGTGCAGTCGGAGCGTGGCACCCGGTGGAATGCCTGGTGGCGGCGCTTTCGGTGGAGGGGACATTCAGTGGCGAACGTACCGGGTGGGGGGATTCAGCGCGTGACGCTTTAACCTGACTGCCCCTACCATCGAATTCCGACAGTCGGACGGCACCCGATGCCTTTAAGGCCCCCCACTCTGGACTTTTGGTTCCCTCTATGGCGTGCGGCTTGGACCCCCCCTTGGGGAGTCCCCCGAAACCCCTTTGGAGTCGATCGATCGGACTTTACCAGCGAGATTGACGTCAGTGAATCTCCAACGGAATTTTCGATTTGCAACTTCAATGGCTTTGATTAGTTGCTTTATTAACAATTGTTTATCGTTAAGCATGAAAGTAAAATAAGATTATGATAATTGACAATCTTCTACAAATATACATATACCGTCGGTTATTACTAATGCCAATTAAATGCCACGTTCATTAAATCTGCAAATTTCAAATCCAACAAATGTGACATTCAGTTCCAACTCCGTGTACTCATCCGCGACAACGTCGTTTGCATAAGTCCGCGCGAGAGATAACTTCTCGCTGCACCCAGAGAACGAGAAACAATGGGACGAAACATTTCCACGGATCGGCGATTAGTCTCGCAGTCTCTGCAAAGGTCATTAGAACCGGCTGGCCCCGGTTAGGCGCGTTAGCATACGCGCCGTTCCGCGCTCGGCGATGGTAATTCCGACGAGGACGCGATCGTATGCGACCGGTCGTGCGAACGTCATCGGGGGCTTATATCACGTTCCTCAAAAATAGCCGAGTGCCACCGTGTGCGGAATACGACGGGCTGACGCACGCGCGTAGCTCCGGCACGTGCCTCGTACTCCCTCCCGCGATGTATGCCTTTCGAAATTGCTCTTTCTACTTGGCGCGACCGATTAAACGCGCGCGGCGGCTCCGTATTTATCTCGGCCGTCGCACGCATATACGTGACGGTATACGCATTGGCTTGAAACACGACCGCATCGATCTCGTGCCGGATCTTAACTTTGTTGACTGTTCAGACGGCGCGCGAATGGTTGCGTGCAAATATTGTGACGCGGATCATGATATCCCGGTCGTTTAGCACTCCTCACGCGTTGACTCTGCGTCACTTTAAATCATAACTCGATTTCAGCCTCGCAAAATGATAGTTTATTGATGGCTCCTTTATCAGATAGCATTCAATTGGACGATGGAAAATCTTTGTTCTTACAGACATGGCAGGATGGCAGGAAATAACTTATACAGACGGTAGACGCTCCTGCGTGAGTAATGCTTTGTTTACCTTGCGATTATATAGTACATGATTAAACCGGATATAACTAGTCTTTGCGCAAACGTAATGATATGTACCGCGATGTCTACCTGATAAGCATTGCTCTTGAGACTTATAATGCGGCAAATATCATCGCGTTCCGTCAAGCACCATGTTGCAAGTAATATTGTACATTCAA